ATTATCAACACAAGTATTTATATACAATAAGCATGCAAAGATGAGATTGATCTATGCATAGGAAAACATTCAGTAGATATCGCTACGTAACTGTTCGTTTTGTAAATCGAGATACTCTCTCGATTGTTGAGATAAAATTTGGAAAATATTTTTTTCTTGAATTTCTAATGTGTGAATTTCTTCACTAATGTTTATCGTAAAGAAAGATATTGCTCGTTACAGAATATATATTCAGGAATTTTGATTTATTAACAGAGAGTATATATACTAGGAATGTAGAAAAATGAAGATGGCACTTTGATTCACGGTAGAATAAAGTGACGCGTTAATTTTTTCACAAATGCACATGGATTTAATTACGTGAAAATATGAAAAAACATTAAATGATTAAAGCACTTTTTGTCAAGTCCTGAAGGAAAAACAAAAGTTAATGCACGATGAAATGTTAATTCACGATGTATATGCGAATCTATTATAAATGCATTCTCATCATTCGCAACAAATTTAATTCATTAAATTTGGCAGAGAGAAAGCTATTAAAATAAAGTAACATTTGACATATTGAGAAGATTCTTATTTTAGAATATACTTTATATTTAATTTTATACTTCTCGAGAGTTTACATTTTCATTCTTTTGTAATCTTTTTTGTTACAAAGAACGTTATTTATTTAATGCGCAAAGAGCATAATAATATTAATTTGACGCGTATTTGAGGTTGAAATCTTCTTCGCATGTGCTTATGTATATATTTGGATAATTGTTTTTATTCTGTTACGTATAGATATATAATTCTATTTATGCGGGGGATTAAAACTTTGTGTCTTAGGTAGCACGGAAATTCCATAAATTCGCAAAATCGATCAACGTGTTGACAGCAATTAATTTACACGTCGTTGTCGTAATCATATGCTACTCGGTTAAAAAATTAAAAATTCGCACGGTCGCGATCGACATTCGCGCTACGTGCATGTTAAAAGGTGTATATTATCGATAAGTCGCGTCGTTATTAATTAGCGCGCGCCGGATATCGACGCTTATTAATCGCCTACGAAATTACGGATTACACTTATGAAACTCGAGACTAGCATTGATCAATGGCCGTCCAACTCAAGCGCGGGACTTCTTGCTCTTTAGCTTGAACCATCCCGCACTCTTGTTCGGGTCACGGGGCACGGACGTGGATCTGTTTAATTCCACCTTGGAGCCTATGCCTCGCGATTTGGTGGCCAGCGATTCCGTGGAAACAGTTCTATCCACTTTCTGCTTGTCCTTCGATTTTAATGTGCTGCGATTGATCGTACCTGCAATGAGTGACATTTTCGTTTCTTAAACAGGGCACAGTTTTAAAGTTACATTGATAAATTAGTGCTGACTCGGTAAAATATGAACTGAAGAGAAATAGCAAATTCAGATAATTTAGCATTAGTTCAGATTGTTTGCACAAAGCTCTCTTTAATGATTAAGTTTCAATTAAATCTAATTAATTTTTTTTAACGACTTGAAAAATATCTAAAGTCAGTTTTTTATTTATCTTGAATTTTAAAAGAATAAAACTATTTAAAATTAATTAAGTTTATTGTAAAAATATTCCATTAAAAGATACAATCTTATTCACTTAGTGAAACACTTCAACATTTTTAAAGAATTTTTATTAAAAATTAAGGGAAAGAAAAGAGATATTTAATTGCCATTTATAATTTTCTCTTTTTAAAGATTTACACATTTTATTTAACAGGTTATTGTGTTATTTTGCTCAAGAGTAAGATCATTTACTTGTCTTAGAAAGATTGTCTTTGCTTCGCCGAGCTTCCTTTCCTCGGCGGCTGAGGGTTTCGCGGCTTCGTTGTCTGCGTCTCATGGTCGCGATCGGTTTCGCATGCTGTTGCTGATCATAGTTGATCTCGAACGGTTCCCTATAATGTCGCGGCTTCCACGGAGCAAGGACGCTCACGCTTCTCGACACCGTTCTCGTGTGCGATTGCAACGGTCGATTTAACTCCTCGCGACTTGCAGCCCGGCGTCGTTCGTTCGGGCCTGGTATTTCGCCGACTGGAATGCAGATATTGAGTCGTAATTAGAATGCGGTTACGCTTGACGACATTTTCTACACCTTCACTGCTGAACATTATTCATATAGATTGATAGTTAAATAACTAATAAATATCTAATCAGTGTTCAGTGTAATATATTTTTTTTATAAATTTCCTATGACGTAAATGTGACAAGTATTGCAAAATTCATGCGTTCATTGAACGATACGCTTCATAGAGCATGTCTATTATTGGCAGTGATAACTTTTCAGCTAAACGTTATATACAAGATATTGAAGAAGTTTATATACACTTGTTTTAAATGTGGATTGATCAATATTTTATTAGCACAAATTTAATTTAAAGCGTATATATTTTTATTACTTTCTAATATTCAATTTAAAACATACTATTTTATTTTAATCTGTGAAGATTAATTTACAAGAGATATTTTGTTTATTTATATTTTAGAATATAAATAATTGCCAATAATCTCTTAATAGTTTTGCTACAATATAATCGATTTAAATAATCATCAAATTCAACAATTTATTTTTTCAAATTTTTTATTTTTGGATTTTTTAAAAATAAGAAATTAAATATATCGCACTGAAAAATAAATTGTAATGTTGCAAATCTCTTCGAATATAACATAAAATTACAATAATTACGAATGCTATATTAGAGAAGTATTTTTATTATACCTGTAGCAGCATGGAGATACACTACAGATCTCTGTGATCTCTGAGAGTTTTGACTTTGTTGGCTACTGTCACCCGTTGTACTCTCGCCCGAAGACAATGCACTTTCAGCGAGTCTCGAAGATTTCCTTGGGGCTGATATGATACCCAAATTATAGCGGTTCGAATTCGTGACATCACGCCTCGAGCGGGCATGGTCGTCAACTCGTTTGTTTCTGAAATAATTAATTTAATTAATTAAATTTTTTTATGATCTAGTCACATCGATTACGTAATTTTTTTTCTAAAGCGGAAATGTGAAAAATAAAAGTTTTTACATATTCACGCAGATAAAAAATTTTCACTTCTCACATTTCCGTCATAGGAAAAAAATCACATGATCGATAACTCTAAATGATATTCTTACTATTTAATTAATATATACACTGAAAAAAATAATATGATATCAACAACATTATTTTAATTGAAAATAATCTTGATTTAACAACAGTATTACTGAAACAAATAAAATTTTGTTGAAACAAGAGAACGCCATATTTGTTTTATTAATAATGTTATTATAAATTAACAAAATTATTTTCAATTAAAATAATGCTATTGATATAATACCAAAATTGTTTTCAGTGTATGTACGTGTATATATATTATCTTCTTTTTTAAAAGAATATGTAAGATTTTTTAATTTTGAAAAAGAAACAATTACTTAGAATATTTGATATAATTAAGTATAATCGGATATTAAGAAAAATGATATCCGATGTGTGTGCGTAAAATAATTAAAGCAAGATGAATAACAGAAATAGATGATTGTACTTTTGTTTATAATAATATATAATTAGAGCAAAATGTAATGATGATGAAAAAGTATAGAGATAATTAGACGACAATCGAAATATTTAAATCATCTCTTGCACGAAATATTGAACCGGTCGTGCATACGCGGCTTATATTATAGCATTTACCTGCGGTCTCTGTTGGACGAGACGGACTCCTGATCCGTATCGCCGAAGAAGCGGAGATTCTTTTGCACGGAAACTCGTTCAGGCGCAGAGGAAGCTTCCTCATCCTCGGTGCCGGTCGTCAAGATCTCGCTCTCGGGTATTCTCGGCTTTTTATCCACCGGCTGCAAAGTTATCGACGCTTCATTATTCACGATCTCAAGGGAGAGGGGGAGGCACCGAATATAGCCACGTATAGATTATTTCTGCGTATAACAATTACGCCCGCTTATTCCAAATATCGATTTATCGAACGTTATAATTTCGCGCACAGAAGACGGACTTTGTAAGTGCGATAGATTGAAACGTATCGCTATAATAATATATTATTCTGTAGCACTATGTAATTTTCATAGTTAAGCACATACTTGACTTCAGTTTCCCGACTTTTAGGGGCGGTTTCGCCAGTTCTCGATTAACTTTGACTATAGTTCAACTAATTCTTTGGAGATCATCTCTTGCAAAAAATTATTTTTTCAGGTAAAATAAACACAAAAGAAAGTTTTTCGTATAGCTTTTAACCTACTTAATTTTTTTATTTTCCACTATCAAGATTCCTCACACTATTATTAGGAA